TGACGTGAAACGCCAAATTCTGAAATACCATGGAGGAAAAATATGCTCCTAAAAGAAGGCATATGATAATGCTCAGGTTACTATCTCCTGTCCAGGTTCAACGTGACAAGTTAGGCCGCTCTAGAGGTTGTGCATGGCTCCGATACTCCAGTGTTACTGAGTGTGAGGCCTGTATACGTGGACTCCACAACCATTACTGGCTAGGCTCGATGAAGCGACCGTTGCAGGTTATAACACCTTATTCCAACTTAGTGAAGGACACCGCTGTGGCACAGGTTCAGTTCTCCTCCTCGTCTCGTAGTTCTCCTACGACTGTCTTTTGCGACGACCAACAACAACAGTACGACCGGAGTTATCATCCTGATGGCAAGAGCGATGATCTCGCTGTTCCTCCCAAGAAGCGGGTAAGTCGATCTGTAGTATAAGACTGGAGTCTGGTTCCAGGTGTTCGTTGGTGGCTTGCCTAAGGACGCTGATGAGCATGACTTGCTCTCAATGATACAGTACTACCAATATGTATATGTTATCGCCTATTGCTCGTGCATAGGTCAGTACAGGGCGAGGTAGTATGTGACGTCAAGGTCGTCAGAAAGAACGGCAACTCTGATGGAGCCGCCTTTGTCGAGTTCATCACCCCTGAGCAAGCCGTAATAGCTCGACGACGACAATCATCTCGCTTGCCAATCTCTTATTGCAGCGAGCGTTTATGGAGATGTACGGGAACGGTCAGCAGGCTATTCTCCGCGGTCGGCCCATTGTTCTCAGACTCGACTGGCCGAAACCGCAGGGTAAGGCTACGGATTCGAATCTGGATAGAATCTGGGACTATGACCTCAGTTCCGCCTTCCCATTCCTCGTCGAAGTTCTGTTCGAATGTTGCACAAGATGGTGTTGCGCCAAGGGGAAACGAGGGACGATCAACTTCTGTGGATACCATCGGAGGGACAGCGGACAGTGCTGAAAGCGGCATCGCAAGTAACTGGGAGAATTATCAAGGCAATCTATCTGGAATTCACAGGTCCTATCGCCTCGACCTCGGCATCACAGCCCTCTAGACGAGACGGAAGCTCGTTGGCATCCCTCAGTGCTGCTGTTGCAGCGGCTACTGTAGCAGCAATGGGAAGCTCGGGGAGCATGAGCCAGGCGGTAGGGAGATCGACTCGACTTTGACAAGTATTGAGAAATGCTTGTTTTTGGAGTTGACCTAGACTCAGTAACTTAGAAACTGACTTGCGCTCTGTATGTGGGTCGCAGCGCTCATGTCTAATGTTAAACATACAGGCTTATTTGTATTTTATCTATCAGAGGGAACGGCTCTAGGAAGTCTCGAAAGTGTGGTATGTCATTGCTAGATATTGGCTATGCTCAGAACCTGTCCTCGATTATTGCAGCTGCTACCGCGGCTGCCACGGCCGCTACTGCTAAGCAGTATGCAGCCTCAGTAGGATCTGATCATACCTCAACAAGAGGCACTGGCAAGGTCAGTGCAACCACTCTCGATCTCAGCGAGAAGTCTCTTATTCTCGGACACCTCGTCCTCAGGCTAACATGTCACCGATGACCGGGGCTGCTGAGGCGGTGGCCGTCTCTCGGTCGGATTCTGGTTGCCCCAGTCATACAGGGGACAGTGCTGAGGTTTGCAGGCAGTACTGGTAATAGATCGACTTACCGTGGTAGGTTGATCGAATGGTGTCGGACAACGCTGGCTACCGGTCTCGACGAATCCCGTTCGATGATGGTACACCGGACATTTGCATATATATCTGTGAAGATGATTTTGTTCAGGTTGCGATGACACTCACTTCACGGGGATCGGCAGCGAACCGCAGTCGGGAAACGAGGACAGTAATATGCCTCTCTTTCGTCACTACGGGAAAGCTCCTGAAGGTCCATCACGGACCCTATTCATCTCGGGCTTGCCCATTAGCTTTTCCCTGGAGAATGTGGTCACCATGTTCAAGGTATTCGGCCCAATGCGAGATGTGAGCCCGTTCTGGCAGCTTAGTAATGGTCAATTGCTGTAGTCAGGTTCAGCTAGTATCCTTTCCGCCTGGATGTGCCGTGGTCACGTTCGATTCAGAGCAAGATGCAGAACGAGCCCGCGTAACATGTGACAACTTCAACTTTGAGCGTACATCATGCCTCATTTGATCAGACTCACAGTCTGCTCACAGATACTGGCCGAAGCTTCTCTGTGAGGCCCATGATCGACAATCAGCAGGACCCCTATGAGATACTCGATAGGGGCTACTCAGCGATG